AACTTTTCATGATTTCCGCCATTTGGGAGTGAACATCACTGCCGAAGATCCCTCCAAACGTTTGTGCCTGTTATATGCCTTTGATAGACATATAGCTTCTTGTCATCGCCACCCTTATCCTAACCAACTGAGGAACAAAGCAAAGGGCTATAGCGAAACATATCAAACAAAGCAAAGCTACAAAGAAAGAAAGAGAAGACTAAGCAGATATTGAGTGACTGAAGATAACAGGGAAGAAGGACTGATTGAGGGAAGCAAGGATTCCATAAGGTCTTGGGAAAGATGATTTGTGAATTTCAACAGACTGTGTTTTGACAGATCAAGAAAAACACGTGGGGTGAGTTCAGAGGAGCACAGACCAGAGCTAAACATTGATAAAACCACTAGAAATCAAGAATGTTTGTGACGTTAAGACAGGTCTGAGGGTCAGGGTTGGTCATCTTTCAGAGGACAATCTTTCTCTTGTATCCATTCCAGGAATATGTGGTCATTGTCAGTGAGGATCCTGAGGTACAGAGATGAGTAAATGAAAAATGACCAAAAGACAATACAGTCTGCCATCTGTCATGCTGGTGGTCATATGACAGAATGGGAATATTATTCAAGTTTTGGATGAATTTGGGCTGCATGCAATTGCTATGGAAGAATGCAGGTGGGATGGTGACGAAGTAGATTCATCTTCAGAGGCTGACACCCCTGATTATTTGTTTAGACCTAATATTATCCTCATCCAAAAGTGCTCGAGCAACATCTTTTCAATGACGCTAAGACCCTGACCCTTATATGGTGCAATCTAACATGGCAGACAATCATGGGAACACAGCCTTTAGTTTTAGAATGCTGGCTTTAAAAAGTTTTGTCTTGAGAAGTACACAGTAACAGTGACTGAACTTGTGAATTTTGGAAAGAAAACAGTTCCCTTATTGCCATCTGACTTTCCAAATGGTGGGACTCACCAAAGAATGGTCAAGAAAACAGCAAGGTCTTGTTCTGGTGAATTTCTGAATTGATAATACAAACAGATGAGGCATCTGCAAAGAAAATCAGCACTTTTCTATTGGTGCTATTTCACAAAGATATTCCCACGTTAAAACGGTTAAAAATAAAGTCATGTTACCTTGCTAGCGCATACCTACTAAAGTACATCATGAAGCAAACAAAACTAGCAATATCTGCCAGAAGTCGTATCAGGATACTCTGGCAAATGTGAATCTGGAAATATAAAAAGGAGAGGAAAAAAAATCTCTTGTTATAATGCAGTCACTTAATCCAAACCTCATGTGGTGACTAACATTTTACTCTGTCCTGCCAGAAGCTCCATTGTAAGCATCAGAGGAATGTGCATCTTGATAAGATGGTCGTCTCAACCTCTCCTCCAATAAAAGCAACTCCGCTGATTCTGCCAAGTGTTTGAAAGAAAAACATTGAGCCATAAAAATGGCCAATGGATTCACAATGATTTAGCAGAAGGAGGACATTGTCTCCGAGGGGTGGCCACTAAACAAGTATAATTTTCTCTGAAGTGCAGTGAAAACTCCACAATAAGGATAATGTACTCTCTGGTCGATGACAGAAATTGGCTGATCATCAACAGTCTCCAGATTTTCTTCTTGTACATAAAACAAGTCAATGCCTGAGGCATGGGAATTAAAACAAGAACAGTACAAATAACAAAAGAAACACTATGTAGTTCTATTCCGCAAGACGAGAATAAGAAACATAACTTAACAAAAGAAGCTGTGCAGTTAGGTGATGTCTAACAGAAGGCTCTGTCCTCTGACCATCAGGATGGAAAGAAAGACTTAAATTTAAGTAACATTGCACTACATTGTGGAGAAATTTCAAAGTGCTTCACAGATAACAAATTACAAATAACCTGAAATGCAGTGATTCAGTTTTATGGGCAATCTTAATGGTTATTTTATGCAAACTGAGCTGCAAGCAATGAGAAGCAGAGCCATTTGACTTCACTTTGATGGTTCGGAAAGAAACATGGATAACCACTCACCGTTCTTTTGAAACAATTCAATTTTGCCCTGAGCATCTACCTGAAACATATGGAAAAGGCAGATGGGAGGGCATAAAAATAACTGGAAATATGGACAAGAGTCAGGAAATCCAAGTACACCTTGCTGAGCTGAAGGACCAAAAGAAATTGCTAATGCTTCACAGACCTGACTCGCTGATTTAAGTTGCAGGGTTTGAGAAAAGGATGGCGACTTGAGATGAAATGGCTTTGAGGTTTCCTCTCCGTTATAAGACTGAAAGTAAGAACTTGACACATGAAGAGCTACTTGGCTTGTATTTCCAGCTTTCAAGCATGCAATTAATCAGCAACAGGAAAATTAGTTTTTTTTTAGATAATTGAAATACTTCCAGCTGATGCAATATTCTTTTTGTTAGGTCCACTTGATTAAATTCCCCATTTCAGCAGTGTTGTAATTTTGCAACAATTTGGCCATCACACGCAATAAGTGTAGGATTTGAACCTACAACCTGACTCAGGATACCAACTGAGCACAACTGTCACTTTGCTTCTCTGATACAAACTAATTCCCACCAGACTGACTTGGGCACATAATATAGGCTGATACTCCCATGTAGTGCTCAGATGTACTGTCCTATTGTAGGTATCATAATTATGCAAATATATCACATGTAGAAGCAGAATTAGGCCATTTGGCCTCAAGTCTCTTTCACCATTCGATCATGGCTGATAGGCTTCTCAACCACATATGTCTGCCAACCTCTCATAACCCTTGACACGCTTGTTAATCAAGAACGTGTCTGTCGCTGTCATAAATACACGCACTGACGCGGCCTCCACAGCGCTCTGTGGTAAACAGTTTCAGAGACACCATCCTCTGGATGAAGAAATTCCTTCTCATCTCTATTCTAAAGGGTTGTCCCTTCACTCTGAGGCTGCACCCTTGGGTCCTAGACTCTCCTACCAGTGGAAACATTTTCTCCATACCCTCCATCTAGGCCTCTCAGTAATCTGTAAGTTTCCATCCTTCTAAACTCCATCAGCTACAAACTCAGAGTCCTCAACAGCTCCTTATATGCTAAGCCCTTCATCCCTGGGATCATTCTTGTAAACCTTCTCTGGACCCCCTCCAAAACCGGCACATCCTTCCTTAGATACAGGGCCTAAAACAGCTCACAATGTTGTAAATGTGGTCTGACCAGAGCCTTATAAAGCCTCAGCAGTACATCCCTGCTCTTGTATTCGAGCCCTCTTGAAATTAATGTTAATATTGCATTTGCCTTCCTAGCTGCCAAGGTGAACCTGAACCTGTTAAAGTGAAACTTACGTTAATCTTAAGAGAATCCTTAACTAGGACTTCTAAGTCCCTTTGTCCTTCAGATTTCCAAAGCCTGTCTCCATTTAGAAAACAGTCTACGCCTCTGTTCTTCCTATGACAGAACATAACCTCACACTTCACCATATCATATTCCATTCGAACTTCTTTGCCCATTCGCTTAGCCTATCAATGTCCTTCTGCAGCTGCCCGCTTCCTCAGTACTGCCAGTCACTCCACCTATCTTTGTGTCATCTGAAAACTGAGCAACAATGCCCTCTCTTCCTTCTTTCAGGTCTTTAACGTATCATGTGATTAGTTGTGTGGCCATCACTGCTCCCTGTGAAATTCTACTAGTCACCAGCTGCCGTCCTAACAAAGACTCCTTTATCTCCACTCTCTGCTTTCTGCCAGTCAGCCAATTTTCTATCTATGCCAATACCTTTCCCCTAAGAATGTGAGCTCTTACCTTATGTAATAGTCTCCTGTATGGCACCTTGTCAAAGGCCTTATGGAAATTCAACTAGATCACATCCAATGGCCCTCCTCTGTCCAACTTGCGCATTACCTCTTCAAAGAATTCTAAGAGATTTGTCAGGAATGACCTCCCCTTGACGAAGCTGTGCTGACTCAGCCCTATTTTACTTCCAAGTACTCCACAAACTCATCTTTAACAATGGACTCGAAAATCTTACCAGACTCACTCTTTCTCAAATGATATTAAAAATCAAGTTTCTGTCTGCAAAAGCAGGTAGAGATAAAAGATCGCATGGCATTATTTCAACGAACAGTAGGGGAGTAATGTTCCAGGCCCTGTGCAATATTTATGACTCAAATCAATATCATTCAAAACAGATCATCTGACCTTTATCACATTACTCCTGTGGGAGCTTGTGTAAAACTGGTTACCCCATTTCCTATATAACAACAGTGATGACACTTCAGAAGTACTACATTGGAGATGAAGAAATTTAGTTGGGCAATGTGTTACTTTCTTGCTGTCTTTTTTCAAGTGCTGTCATACTGGTCAAGGTGCACCTACAGTGCTGTGAGCAAGGGCGTTCTAGGATTGTCCCGACAAAGTGACGCTACAGCCGAATATACCCAGGGTGGCATGTGACTTGAAAGGCGACTTGAAAGGCAACTTGGAGGCGATGGTGCTCCCATGCATTTGCTGCCTTTATCCTTCTGGGTGGTGAGGGTCGTAGATTTCGAAAAGGTTTTACGAGGAAGCTTTGGTGAGATGCTACAGTATCACAGCAAATATTACACACTACAAACCATGGTGTGGTGGCAGGGAGAAATGTTTTCCATGGAGCATGTGGTGCAACCAAGCAGGTTGCTCAGTCACCCACCCCTTCATAGATTGCTCTGTCAAGTGCTTTATGAGTATAAGAGCTGAACAGATAGTCTTGTGTTTGTGAATGCAGTTAAACAAACAAGAGGTCTGACCTGAGTCTATATGAAACCTCCTGGCTGCCTAGTGTTTTCAGCCAAGGACAGCATGGCTGTTCTTCAATGGATACAAATAATGCGATGATTATTTCACTGTCAATATATCCTATGCTATAGAGAGGTAGTTCTGTTGTTGTAATTGTTCTTCTCCAGCTGTTACTTTCATCTTCAGCTTAAACATAAACTATAGCATTGCATCTTTACACGTACACCTTAATCACATGACAATGAAGCTGTATTTACCTCGTAGCCTTCCACTGATGGTTCAGTCACCGATGACCATATCACTTCGATTTCAGAAGATGAGAGGCTCCTGGCAGTCACTTGTGGAGGAGCTTCACTAGGCTCTAACAACAGAATAAAATACCAGATGACTTTACTGCAATTAAAGAAGATTGCACATAATCATATCTTACACTGACATGACTTCAGTAGCAAACACATAAAGTGCTGGAGAAACTCAGCTGGTCTGGCAGCATCTGTGGAGAGAGAAATAGAGTTAATATTTTGGATATGGATGCTTCAGAGTTCTTCCATCTGTTTCTGACGGGGCTGGTGCACATCACCTTGTCAGTCATCTTACCATCGAATCGCCCATAACTGGACTATACCGACAGGTAGCCACAGTGTGTCTTCACATAATAGATCGTTTATATTCTTTATGAAAATTTACTCAGGTTAACTGAAAGACTCGCAGGAACTATGGCATAATGAAGATGTGCAATGGGACTCTACAGAGGAGAATATATGAAAACATGGCAAGGTTCCGTGCCAAGCTTTATTTAGTGGTTTTCTATTCTACAAAGCAATGAATGGCAGCTTCCCTAAAGCCCTTTACAACTGTCAAAAGCCTTCCCTATTCCTGTACTCCAATTAGCCTGCACTAAATGCCAACATAGTTTTTGCTTCCTGAGATGTCTGCAGCACCTAAATCCAAACTGTCTGTTGTTACTGTACAAAGGCAACTAAACCATCCATGAATATCATTATTTCAAAGGTTTACACCTTTTAAAACTACATTTTTATGATTCTTACGACCTAAATAAATATCCTTACACTTTCTAACATTATACTCCACATGTTACCTTATTGCCCATTCACTTAATATCTATTTGCAGCCACCTTGTGTCCTCCTCACAGTTTTTGCTTTGTATTGTTAGCGAACTTAAATATAGTTCTCTTGATTTACTTTTTTGTAAGTCACTAATATAGATGGTAAATAGCATTCATTTCTAAGAGCATTCTGACCTGCTGTCTCAACCTTTAAGAGACCCATGTTTATTCTCCCTAATCCCTTTCTTAGATATTTGTGGATGCTTTTACAATCAGTTCTCTCTATTTCTCACCAACTTTTACTCTAATTTCTCTCTCTTTAAAATTCACTGGTGACTATTCACTGTTTGGTAAAATTCCTGAATCCTCAAACCTTTTGACAACACAGCAAATGTTTTCTCAAAAAATCTAATATTATACTCAACTTCTTTAGTTAGCGACAATTGGATCACATTTCTTCTGGGTTTTAAATCCTTTCAGGAATTGCACAGTTTTACGAATAACTTCTACAAATGCTTATTCTTACTTATATACCATCATACCTTTGAATCCAAATTCCCAGACTACCTTTGCCAACTTATCCTTTAAACCTATTAATTTCATTTAAATTTAAGGCACTATTTTCGATTTTAAATACAACATTCCTAAACTCAGCATGAAATTCTATCATACTGTAATCATATTTCCCATTGGGATCCAACAGCCCTTCTCCTCAGCTCGCCATCATCACAAACAGCTGTCAGTCAATTCAATTCGGTCCACATGACATCAAGATATAACTGAAGGTGCTGGATACTAAAAGGCTACGAGCCCTGACAACATTTCAGTCATAGCACAGAAGACTTTTCATCCGTAATTCGCTGCAATATGAGTCAGGTTATTCCAGGAAAGCTACAATGCTGGTATCTATCCAACAATATGGACAACTGCCCAGATATATCCTGTCCACAAATAACAGGACAAATCCAACCTAGCCAATGGCCATGCCATCAGACTACGTGATAAAAGGTTATCATCGACAGTGCTATTAAACAGCACTTTTGGAGCCCACCCAGCTCCTGCCCTCATTATAAACTTGGTCCAAACATGGACAAAAGATCTGAATTCAAGAGGAGAAGTGAATGTTGACATCAAAGTAGCATTTAACCAAATGCGGCATTAAACTGCTCTGGAGAAAAGAAAAACTAAAGTCAATGGAATCAAGCAGAAAACTTTCTGCTGGTTGGAGTCATATCTGACACAAAGGAAGATGGTCTTGGTTTTTGGAATGCAAATCATCACAGTCCAAGGACATCCTCAGTTTTGTGTGCTTGGTTCAAATATCTTCAGCTACTTCATTACACCTTCCCTCCAAGCTGAGGTCAGAAGTGGGGCTGTTCACCAACGACTGCACAATTGCCAACCCCATTTGCAATTCCTCAGATAATGAAAAACCCATGGAAAATATCCAGGCTTGAGATGATAAAGCAAAGTCAAGCACATGCCACAATGACCTCTTGAAGAAGAAAGAATCTAACCATCTCCCCTTAACATTCAACAGTATTAACATCACTGAATCTCTCACCATCAACGACCTGAGGAGTACAACTCATCAGGAACTGAACTGGACAAGCCATATAAGTATAGTGACTACAAGAACAGGTCAGAGGCTAGGAATTCTGCACTTAAGTAGTCCATCTTCCTACACAGCTAGAAGTGCACTGTTACAACCAGACCCCAGTTTCCAGGCAGATATTCCAACTTGTCAAGTTCCTGGTTGAGGAGGGATGAACTGAATTCCCTTCTTTATTCAACTACACTCTCAGTTGCTTGCAACACAGTTAAATTACAAAGGATCCTTTCCTCATGGATATCTCTCTCCCAGACCAACTGAATTTATGTCTTAAAAGGAGCCAAATTCATCCAGGCTTTCTTAAATTAACCAAAGAGTGAGTTCATTAGTTACTTAGCACGAGAAGAAGTAATAACACAACAGACATTTACATATATTAGAAATGAGTCAGAAAAAGATAAAAGTTAAAAGAAATACAGATCACTGACTGACCATTCGTGAAGAATAGATAGTGAACAGTCAATTTCAGGATTCTCCATTTTACAGGTCAATTGAAATCCTTGTCTCCTGTTCACTTTTCACTAATTTTCTGGCTAGCTGTCTTCGAGTACTGGGAGTGAGAAAGTCCTCAGAGGTGATAATTATTCTTTGACCGCAGCCTTTCCAGTGCACCAGCACTCAAATGTCATACGTGTGAGCACCTCAGCTCACAACACACACAGAATAGGGTCAAATTAGCTTTTGAGGCTTGATCTTGTGAAAGGCGAAACACAAAATGTACCTCTCACCCAGACTGTCATCTTTGCTCCCATCATGTCCGTAGTCTGTGTTAATTCCTACAGGTTTTCGAGAGGATTTGTAGTTCGGATTGTGGATGCGGTTGTAGACTTGCTCGCCGAGCTGGTGGGTTTGGTTGCAAACATTTCGTCGCCCTGCTAGGTAACATCATCAGTGCGCCTCCGGTGATGCGTCGGTGTTCTGTCCTGCTTGTTATTTATATGCCTCAGTTTGCTGGGATGGTTGGTATTACTTCCAGTTCTGTTTCTCAGTGGTTTGTACACAAGGTCTAATTCAATGTGTTTGTTGATGGTGTTCCGGTTGGAATACCAGGCCTCTAGGAATTCCCTGGTGTGTCTCTGTTTGGCTTCACCAGAGGCGCACTGACAATGTTACCTAGCAGGGTGACAAAATGTTTGCAACCAAACCCACCGGCTCAGCAAGCATGTCTACAATCTAATTCCCACAGGATTGTGCCGCATTTCTCCATTTTAACTCCAACCCACTTCAGCTTCCTTGGCACCTCATCAGAAAGCCACTGAACTTGCATCCACTCGTCATTTCTTTTCTGGCTCTAGTAGTCCGCTTTTGAAAAAAAAATGTTGGAATTAAAAATCTAATCTGTCCATAAATTATCCAGGGATGTGTTTTGCCATTATGACAGTGCAAGAAGAGTGAGTGGAGGCCACAAAGTTAATCAATTTGTCATTGTCCTCTCTCCTTTGATTCACACAAGGAAAATAGGCAGTCATGTTGCATACACAAGAACTGTCAGCACTTGTGGAACAAGACTCCGACATGTGTCAGTACCCTGAGGACTGGGATTTGGAACTATAAAGCTTTCTGTTTCTTTAACAGTAACTGTTTTACCACATTTGCCAAACAATAACAAGCCAATTACAAAAAAAAAATCTGAAATTGCTTGAGAGATTCACGTTTCAGCAAAAGCTCCGACAAAAAAAGACACACAAGGAATTCGGGGGACTGGAAATCTGTTTGGCACTATATTTAATCGTGTGTGCACTGCCTTCCAATGGCCTTGGACTGCCAACATGCACATTGCTCTGAGCTGCAGGAGACCACGTGAGTTAATCACATGTACATAAAGTAAAAGAGAGTTCCGAAGTGGCGAGCAGGTCTGGGATTTGGAAGGAGCTAAGGAAAACATGTGCCAAATCAGTGAAATGAGTGTTTTTTGATTTGGCTTGAAAATATCGAGACAGATAAAACGGGTCAGACTTTATCACGTTACCATTAGCAAAGAAACTGCTTACATTAATGTAGCATCTCAGGGCCCCCAAATCATCTTACAGCCAATTAATTACTTCTGATATGCAGTCTCTGTTGTAATGTAGGAAATGTAACAGCAATTTGCAAACAGTAAAAATCCACGAAGAGGAAAGAGATAAAATACCAAATAATGTTTTTTAATGATGTTGGTTTAAGTGCAAACATTGACCGAGACAGGAGTCAAAACTTGCCAACTCTTCTTCACACATGCTGTGGAATTTTCCCTTTCCACCTTTATTGGGCAAATGGGACATCAATCCAGCAATTTAGCCAAAAATGCTACTTCTGGAAGCACTGCACTCCTTCTAGTGCCAGTCAAGACCTTGAGTTCAAATCTCTGGAATTGGACACGAATAGCAAAGATGATTCTGGATAGGAGTGAAAGTAACAGGGTAGTTGTTATGGGGGACTTTAACTTTCCAAATATTGACTGGAAACGCTATAGTTCGAGTACTTTAGATGGGTCAGTTTTTGTCCAATGTGTACAGGAGGGTTTCCTGATACAGTATGTAGATAGGCCAACAAGAGGCGAGGCCACATTGGATTTGGTACTGGGTAATGAACCAGGTCAGGTATTAGATTTGGATGTAGGTGAGCACTTTGGTGATAGTGACCACAATTCGGTTACATTTACTTTAGCGATGGAAAGGGATAGGTGTATACCGCAGGGCAAGA